CTGTATAGGTGGGAGCCATTTTCCCAGCAGAGATGTGGTACTCGGCTGCCATGCTCTTTGGGCAGGCCTGGTCAGTGGTTAACAGTTTTCAGACATGTTGGTAGAGGGTATGTAGCCATGCAAAAATACTCTCCCGCCTACACGGTGACAGCAAAGTATTTTCCTGCTGAGGTCCGGGGAGGCTTTAGTTCAGAAGGAATGGGGTGCCTGATTTTACAGCAGGAACCAGGCATTCATTGTGACCTCAGAGTCCTCCCCCGGCCCCCATGGCTGCAGTACTGGGCAGGGGGTTTCTACCAAGATTTCTACCCCTGCCAGTAGGGAAAACACCTCACCTGTGACCTTTTGGTAATATTTACTAACTAGCAAAGATTGTGCATAAGTTCATGGTGACCCTGGCACTTTTGAGATTTAACAAAAATGTTCAAATAAGCATGTGCCTTTTGGGAGAATTTCTATAGCTCCTCACTTCAATCGGTTATGGCAAAGTGAGAAATAACAACCAAGTGTGGCTTCATCTTATTTCTACTGAAATCGCTCAAATCCCCTCTCTACTGCTTTTTTGTCTTTCAAGTCTTTCCAAGTGAGCAATTAAGGGCTCTAGTTTGACACTATTGAAAACTCTCTTCCCAAGGGGAAGCCAAGGTTTGGTTAGTCACATTTTCTAGATGTCTTCTTTGCCCTTCTTTTTAAAAATACAATATTTTTACTAATCACATGGGAATTACATTCATGCATATAAAGGATTTTGATCACATCCACCCTCCATTCCTCCCTGTAACTCCTCCATGATCTACCTCAAGCCCCCACACAACTTCATGCTCGTTCTCTCTCCTCTCTCCTCTCTCCTCTCTCCTCTCTCCTCTCTCTCTCTCTCTCTCTCTCTCTCTCTCTCTCTCTCTCTCTCTCTCTCTCAAATAACCCACCAAGTCCAATTTATATTGCCTATATATTCATGGCTCATAGGTTTTCGGTCATCTACTAGAGTGTGGTCAACTTACTAGAAGCCACACCCTTAAGAAATCTAACTTTCCTTTCTGCAGAAGACAACTGTTAGTAACTCCTCAGTTGGGCTGGGAGGCGTCATGAGCCCCGACCATGCTGGATCTTGTACATGTCTTACATAGGCAACTGTAGCTGCTGTAAATTCATGTGTACAGCAGTTATGTCACATCCAGGAGACACTGTTTGTCGTCTTCCCCAACCCCTGACTCTTACAGTAAGTAATTCTGTCCCATCGCCCTCCATGGTCCATGAGACATGGGGACAGTGAGTGGTATAGATGTCTCATTTATGGCTGAGCATTCCAAGGACACTTCCTCTCTGAAGTTTGACCAGTTGAGAGTTTTTGTATTAACTGCCATCTAATCCACAAAGAGACTTCCCTGATGAGGATTTAGAGATGGACTAATCTGATTATACAGATGTGAATGTAGAGGGCAGTTTAGAACTATGTCCATTTATCAAAATAATAGTGGCATGTTGACCCCAGTCATGCACTCTTGTCTAGATGTGTATATAGTACCAGGGATTCTTTAGGATCCAGACTTAAATACAATTCAGAAAACCGTTGGTTACCTCCATGACATTCATGCCACTGTTACACTCTATGTGTATCTTACCACGCTAGTCATTATTGTAGCTCATGTAGTTCCCAGCTAGGTAAGATCGTTGATGACTTTTCTCCTCCAGCAGACTGCATGGCACCTTCTGGTACTATGAAGTGAGCCAGCAAGGAGCAGTCTTCCTACTTGGTGCAAACTTATTTCTCCAGGTCTTGTGACCAAAGTGCATGGTATTTTTAGCAATAGGGTCTTACAATCCAGTTCTTGTGGGGACCCAAGAGCAATGGTAGTAGTCTGCATTGTTCTGGGGATCCCTGGGGTGCCTCTGACTTGAGGGGAAGGTATCCCACACCTGGCATCAGAGGAAAATTATCACCTTGGTAGGGTAACACCAATTAAATTCATATACATACAAATATGGAGGTTTCCATACGGCTTATCCAAACATTTAGTGTTACTTATTCCTCTCCCAACCCCTCCTCTGCTCTACCCTCTTACCCTTTCTCCAATTATACCTCCTTCCCCATTTTTCCTCTTCATATCACCTCGGCTTTACTACTGACTACTTCATTAATATCTTTCTCTATTTTACCAATGGTTTTCCTGGCTCCAAGTTAAACACAAAGATCTAGGAATTTGATGCTAGGAACCACATATGAGGAAGAACATGAAACGTTTATCTTTCTGGGTTTGGGTTACCTCATTCAGTGTAATGTTTTCAAGTTTCATCCATTTGCCTGAAAACTGAATAGCTGCCATTTGTTTACAGCTGGGTAATGTTCCATTGCACATCTGTACAGCAGTTTCACTAACCATTACATCTGGCTACTGTGAACAAAGCAGCAATTGGACATAAATGAGCATATATCTCCATAGTAGGAAATACAGTCCTTTGAGTACAGGCCCAGGAGAGGTATAGCTGGGTCATATATGGTAGTTCTATTTCTAGTTTTTTGAGGTGCTGACAAATTGGTTTCCATAGTAGCTGCACCAGTTGGCATTCCCACCGGAAATGAATGAGAATTGCCCTTTCCGGACATCCTCACCAGCATTGGTTTTTATCTATGTTATTAATCAAAGCCATCCCAACTGGGGTGAGATGAAATTTCAAGTATACACATCTTCCTGATGGCTAAAGGCTGTGAACATTTTAAAAAATATTTCTCAGCTTCTTCTTCTCTCTCCTCCTCCTCTTCCTCCTTCTTCTTCCTCTTCCCCTTCCTCCTCATCCCCCTCCTCCTCTCCTCTCCTCCCCTTCCTCCTTCTCTTCTCACTGTTCCATTACATAGCCTACTTTTGAAATTGGCTTGTTTATGGGTATTTAATTTTTTTGAGTCCTTTGTATCTTGTAAGTAGTAATTATCTTTCAGATGTATAGAGAGTAAAGACTCCCCCATCCATTCTGCTGGATGCTTACATTTCCTTTGCAAATTTACACAAAGCCCCACGTGTCAAGTGTTAGTCTTCATGCTTCTGCTACTCAACTCCTATTCAGAAAGTCCATTATGTGCCTATAAGCTGAAGTACATTCCTTACTTTCTCCTCCGTCAAGTTCAGGGTAGCAGGCCTTGGGTTGAGGTCCTTGATGCATTTGAAGTTGACTTCTGTGCAGAGGGAGAGACAGGATCCAGTTTCATTCTTCTGCTTCTAGCTAGCCAGCTGGAACAGCACTATTTGCTTTTCTTTCTCCAAGGCGTGTGTTTTGAGGTCTGTAGGAGTGTGGATTCCATGAGTCCTTAATTCTGTTTCCATTGATGACGGTGTCTGTACTATGATGGTTTAATGTGGGAGGCCAGCTCCTACCTTTTAAAGGGTTCCTATGAGGAAGAGAGAGGGATAAGAAACGTTTAGATAGAAAGATAGCAAAGAGGAGAAAGACAGAAACACAAGATAGCTTCAGGAGGACCTGGATCAAAACCCACTGGCCCCTTCTGCCTCTTCAAAAGGGCTTTTTATAATATGCTAAAGGGAAAGGCAAAAGACCTCCCACTTGCTAGATCAAAGCACACCCACACCGCACGGCCAAGTGTAGACCCTTCCAAACAGCTGGTAATCACGTCCATAGTCAAATCATCCCCTTATGCAGCCCTGCTGGGTAAAACAAGCTCAGATCCTTGGACCCTGAGTAAGTTCTCACTAGGAAACCTTTGTGAGTCTCTACAGGTTGATTACCATAGCTCTGCCCTATAACTTGAAATCAGGTGATGAAACCTTGAACAGTGTTTTTATTGTTCAGGCTTGTCTTAGCTCTCCTCTGTCTTTTGTGTTTTTATCTGGTTTGGGGTTCTGGGTAATACTGAATTCCTAAAAAGAAATTCAGAAGTATTCCTTCCATTTCTACTTTATGGAATAACTTGAGTACTGCTGAGGTCGGTCCCTCTTTTAAGGCCTCCTTGAATTCTGTGCTGAACTCTCTGACCCTGTGCTTTTTTTAGTTGAGAGGTTTTAAAATCACTGCTTCTGTCTTGTTGGTTGTTATTGGTATATGTCACCTTGCTTTAACTTTGGTAGTTATGTGCATTTAGATATTAACTCATTATTTTTAGATTTTCCAATTTTATGGAACATAGTTTTTTAATGTTTCTTGATTTTTTTGAGATTATAATACAGTTACTTCATTCACTTTCCCTCCCTTCAAAACCTCCCATTTGTGTACTTGCTCTCTTTCGAATTCATGGCTTCTTTTTCTTTAATTATTGTGTGTGTGTCTTCTTAAATAGACACCTATTCACTCTAAATAATGTTACTTGTGTATGTTTCCAGGCTATGACCACTTGGTATTAGATAACCAGTTGTGAGGGCTCTTCCACGAGAGAGACTATTTCCTCCACTCGGAGCACTCCTTAATTGCCTGTAGCTCCTTGTGTAGAGTTGATCCTTTGCAGCCTCCCCCTCCCTAGCTTACCCTGTCCACATTATCATGTCTATCGGTGTCCTCATTGTCCAGCTCACTTGGAGGCAGTTGGGTTGATGAGACTTTGTGCGTGTAACTTGGGACATTTCTAGGAGACATAATTTCAGAGCAAATGCCCTGTCCCTTTGAATCTTACAGTCTTTCTCTCTCCTCTTCTAGAATGATCTCTGAGCCTTGGGTGCAGGAGCTGTGTGGTAGATGTATCCCTTGGCCCTGGGGGCTGTAACTGCATTTTCATTGGTTATGGTTTTATGTAGTGATCTCCATCTGTTCCAAAGTGGACTCCTTGATGAGGAATGAGAACTATACTTATCTGCACATTTAAAGATAAATATTTAGGATAAAGTTCAGGATTATTCTGGTTTATTAAAGTTACAGTTGTAGGTTCCCCTCCAACGTCCTTGACTTCACTAGCTCTAGTGAAGTTGGCTAGTGTCCAGTACCAGACATGATTTCCCTCTTGTTGGATGGTTCTTAAGTCCAATCAGAGAGCTGTTGGTTACTCCCAAGATATAGATGCCACTACTGTACACTTAGGCCTTTCATGCTATGTTGGTCATTGGTTCATAGGCATCATAGCTGGGCAGGACTGTTGCTGATTGTTTCTCTCCTTTACAAGTGTTACAGTAACTTGTGGTACCCTGACAGCTAGTCCTAAAGCAAGAGGAGGTTTTCAAGTCAGAGCCAATTCAAGGACTCTAGGTCCTATTTCTAACATTTTCACCCATTTGGGATGCTGTTGGCCATAGGTTTCTCATAGGTAGCTTTTACTGTGTTGAAGTATTTTCTCTCTAGTCTCTCTACTCTCCCTAGGACTCATGAAGACATGTTAGATTTTGTCAAAGGCTTTTTCTGCATCTGTTGAGATGATTGTGTGATTTTTGGTCTTTAAATCCATTTATATAATTTTATTACACTTACTGACTTGTGTGTGTTGGATCATCTATATCTCAGGGATTGTCATGGTGTCATGTCATTTTATGTATGTATTCTTTTTATTAGGTATTGTTATGTTCATCAGGAATATTGGCCTATAGTTTTGTTGTTGTCTCTCTTGTGATATTGGTATTACAGTGGTACTGACTTCATAGAGGCACCTAGGGGTACTCCTTCTGTTTCTATTTTTTGAATAGTTTAAGAAGAATTAGCTATAGATCATCTTCAATAGTCTGGTAGCATTCTGCTGTGTGTGTCCCTGGGCTTTTCTTAGCTGTAAGACTCTTTATTCCTATTCCTATTATCTCATTTGCTATGGTTCTGTTTAGGTTGTTGATCTCTTCTTGGTTTCATTTCAGTGGTTTGGCAAAACTAAAAATTTTCTTTTAGGCTTTCCAACTTAATGCAGTGCAGCCTTTCAAAACTACTCCCTCATAGTATTCTGAGTTTAATTGATGTTATGATGTTTCCCTGTCCATTTCTGATTCTGTTGGTTTGTGTCCTCTCTCTCTTTTGGTTAGTAGGCCAGAGTCTACTCTTCTTCTTTATCTTCTCAATGAACAAACACTCAGATTTGTTGATTCCTTATATTTTCTTTGTTTTTATTTCATTAATTTCACCTCTGATTTTTTTTGCGTCTACTATACTCACATTCAGTTTATTTTTGTTTTCCCAAGTTTTGAGTTGCATTGTTAAGTCATGTATGTTTACTCTTTCTGATTCTTTTACTGTAGTCACTAAAAGCTAATACATTTCCCTTGGAGGACTGCTTTTAATGTGTCTCAGGAGACTTGGTATGTTTTCTTTTCCATTTCACTTTGGGAAATGTAGTATTTCTTTCTTGATTTCCTTTTCAATGCATTAATCATTCCATAATGAGTTGTTGGATTTCCATGAGTTTGTGTACTTACCAGAGATTTGTTTCCTGTCAATTTTAGATTTTATTGCATTAAGGTTAGATAGGATACACAGTTAGTTCAGGGTTTCTGAATTTGCTAAGTTTTTTTTTTTTAATCACAGGATTTACCCTGTTTTAGAGAAGCTTTAGTGTACTGCAGTATTTAGGTAAACTACTCTGTAGATAGCTGTTAAATCTATTTGATGTATAATTTAACTGTTTTTCTCCTTTTTTGTCCAGATGACCTGTACTGTAGACAATGTGGTCTTGAAATCACCTACTATCATTTGCTTGATGCTAATCTGTGTCTTTAATTCTATTAGTACACATTTTATGAAATAGACTGTACCTGGCGTTGGATTTTTTGTTTGTTTGTTTGTTTTTAGAAAGTCTGTGAGCATTGGTAGCCCAAATGGGAAAAAATTCATTTAAACTACATGTATTTACAAAGGCTAACATGTATTATGTGTTTGGGGCAGAACTGTATAATTCCTTATGACTTTTTCAGGTATTCTTAGTATAATGTTGCCCTCTTCTCTCCTCCTTTCAAATTAGAGTCTCCTCATTCCCCCACTTCCCCTTCAGATGGCTTGTAGCCTGCCATTCCCCTCTCAGCTCAACGATCTCTTTTGACTTTGCTGGGCTCTGTAATTACCATATGTGTGTATTACTGTATGTACTCACATGTCACGATTTGGAGTTAGCAACCCCAAATGAGAGACAACATGGAACATCTGTCTTCCTGGGTCTGAGTTACCTCACTCAATATGATCTTTTCTAGTTCCTCACCCAATATTGATCTTTCCCAGTTCTGTTTGCATTTAACTGCAGATTTTATTATTTCATTTATCTTTACAGCTGAATAGTAAGGCTGAATAGCCCACAGAGTATATGTACCATATTTTTATTATCTGCTCATCAGTTGAAGGACATTTATTTCCATTTTCTAGATATTTATAGTAGAATGGCAATGAACATGTCTGAGCAATATCTGTGGAGTAGAATGTTGAGTCTTCTGGGCATATGCTAAGGAATGGTCTAGCTAAGTCATAAGATAGATCTATCTTTAGGCTTCTAAGAATTCTTCACACTCATTCCCATATGTGCTCTGCCAGTCAGCAATCCTACCAAGAATGAATGATGGTCTCCCTTTCCCCACATTCTCTCCAACATTTGTTGTCATTTGTTTCATAGACATTCCAATGGGTATAAGAGGAAATGGCAAAACAGTTTTAAGTTGCACTCCCCTAATGGCTAAATACGTTGAACACTCTTTAAAAGATATTTCCTAGCCATTTTGTTTCTTATTTTAAGAGCTCTCTGTTTCAGATCCATAGCCCATTTCTTAATTGGGCCATTTGCTTTCTCAACTCTTTGTATATCATGGATATATTCCCCTGCTAGATGTGTGTGTGGCTGGCAAAGATGCATTTTGTAGACTTCATTGATTTTTTTTTCCCGCTGTGTAGATGATTTTTAGTTTTAAAAATAACACTTGTCAATTGTTGGTCTCAATTCCTAGGCAAATGGAGCCCTCTTTAAAAAGTCCTTCCAGGCCCCCACATCATGTAGGGCACTGCTTATGTTTTCTTCTGGCATTTTCAGTGTTTCAGGTTTTACATTGAAGTCTTTGATTCATCTGGAGTTAGTTTCTGTGCAAGGTCACAGATATGAGCCTAATTTCATTCTTCTGCAGAGAGAATTCTAGTTTTCCCAGGACCATTTGTCACAGGGTAGAGAAGAAGGTGCTCTAGAGAAGGAGATATTAGGTCACAGTTTCTATGAAGGGGGAAAGTGGAGAACCAACCTTAACTGAGAACAGGGGGAACAGGAGGGGACAGAAGAATAACACCAAGGGTATTTGAAAAGCCACAGGGAATCCTAGAGTTTTATGTTTCCTTAAAATTACATGCATGCACGCACACACACGCACACACGTGCACACACACACATAATGCATCTATTTTTTATGATATGTCACCTAAATTAATGTTGTGGGGAACACTGTTACCTTAAGTATTTAATAAAACTCCCAGTACCAGACATGAGAAACATCCTTTTTAGTTTTT